ACATTCTGTGGGATCACCTTTCTTTGGAATGGGCACAAATATGGATCTTTCTTTGAGCTTAGATTATAGAAGCCATAAATTATTTATAAAGAAAGTTTTCTTTAGTAACCACAGCACTGAAAAAACTAATAGATAAAAGACCACTTGGAAGATAACTGCCCAGAGGTCTTGGTTACAGTTAAAAAAAAAAAGTACACCTAGCTTCCTACAACAGTGGTTGCTAACGTCCCTTATAAAGACAGTTACAATAAATTTGCAATCATACCATCGGCAGACTGTCCTTTCCGGGTTGTACGTTTCACAGTTTCCCAAGTTCTGTTCAGGCAGGGAAGGAAAAACAAAATCATTAAACAGGAGGATGTTCTTAGGTTTTCTGCGTACAACCAGAACTTTACGAATGCATGCATGCAAATGCACTGATGTTATTGGTCAGGAAGACTAGGGCAATAAAGATCTGCATTAAAAAAAGCCAGCTGTGCTTTCCTACTGATCTGAAAATTACCAATGAAAACTGTGCCACCCTATACATAGCCCTTTGGGTGCCATCTAAATAGAAAGCCTGTTGATCATTGAGGTGAAGCTTTCAAACAATTTACTCTACATACTTTAATTTGCTTCATAAGTCTATGGGTGAGCAGACAGCAGGTGATTTCAGCTTTAAAGGCTATTAAGCAGTTTATGCAAATTAAGTCTCCTATGAAAATTCTAGCCCTGTATAGAAAAGCAAAAGATATTGACTATATAATGTGAATCATTGAGACAGTTATTTAGATAGTTTATATTTTTTAAACACGTGACTTGAATTACACAATTTAGGAAAGTAGGCCTTTTCCATTTAATAATTGAGGAATTATTAAATTGTGGTAAGTGCTTTACATGTGTGAGATCTTATCTAAGAGGGAAAATGGTCCGTAGAGGAAAAAGTAAGGTGAATCACAGATTCCTGTTCCCTTTTATGGTTTCATTTCTTATATGCTATTTGTTTTTAGCTGGTTTACCCACAAGGAGCTCCAGTGGTACAGTGGTTAAAGCACTGGGCTGCTAACCAAAGGGTTAGCAGTTCAAATCCACCAGCTGCCTGAGGGAAAAAGATGAGGCAGTCTGCTTCCATAAATATTTACAGCCCTCAAATCCTATGGGGGCAGTTTTACCCTGTCCTATAGGGTTGCTATGAGTCAGAATGGACTCAATGGAGGTGGGTTTGGTTTGGTTTGGTTTACCCACTACAGTTTTTCTTCTTTGATAACATTTGGGATACTACTTTCTCTTCCAGTAACAATGGGCAGAGTTTTATTAGAACAACCATGTTGTTTAAAGGGGCAGCAGTGTATAGGGGACATTCCCCTTCACTCTGTTATCCCTTAAAAAAAAAAAAAAAAAGGCTATGATAAAAGACAGCAATGAAGTAGCAAATAATTTTAGGATCTCTACTAACAGAAGACATCTGCATGGCTCTAGGAATTGGGATAACGAGTGTAAATTGGCCTCCCTGTAGTGAGGGTTATAAGATGTATTACCCTGAGGAACCTTCTTGTTCCCTCTTTTCATCTAGTTCTTCCTAAGGTTTGGACCTTACCACAGTCCTGTAAAAAAAATGTTCTAATATTCCATCTGGTAAAAACTTTCTGTAAACTGCAGATGTCTCTGCATTATACTCAAATTCTAAAGGACAAACATGCCAAAATGAACCTATGAAAGTCAAACAAGACTACTATGACAACTCACAGCAGCTCAACATTCCTGTTAGTAGCAAGAAGCCAACCAATAAGCAGTTCTGATAAGTAAATAATACAGGGTGGAAGACACAAAAACACCTTTGGCACAGCTCTCACAGCTGCCTCCTAACGTTAGTCCTAAAGACTGAAGAAGATAGTGCTGGGGAAAGCACTGCAGATCCCATCCCAAATACACTAGGAATAAGGGGGAAAAAAGAAGAGCATCATTATAGTGGTAGGATGAAGTAATGAAGCAGTAATGAGCCATAAATCATAAGCAATAAAATATAAATGCATTTATAAGAAATACTAAAACAAGAATGTCCCATGAGAGGGCCAGTAATTAATCTTAATGGGACTTTGAGAGACGTACTTTTGACTGAGAACAGACTATCTTAGCCTGCTACTACTTGCCTGCTAGCTAAACCCAGTAAGATCTCTGCAATTGTAAAACTAGGAAATCAAAAGTATGTTAACTCAGCAGTCTCTTCTATTTTTAGGATTCTGATTCTAGTTAAGTTACTCCGTCTTTCAATCTCCTAATGTTAGAGGAAACAAGTTTTGCTTTCTTCCTTCTAGTCAACCAATACATGATGTATGAAGAGTGACAAAGGATGATTTCAATAGTATCCTAAATGTCACCAGAAGGGAAATGCCAGTCTATTTTTACAGTAAAATTAATTCCATACTCTCTTCCACAAGAAGACAGTGGAACAAAGGATTCTCTAGCTGAGGTTTTACCTCTTACATACATGCTTTGCTATCTGGTAATAGAGAAAAAAACATTATAAATGGACAAATCATGGTCTACTAGAAAGTACAGAAATTCACTCTTCAAAGCCTGATTATTAATATTCTGGTATGGAATATTAATACTTTACATAAGATCTCTTCTGAGGCCACATGGAAGTCCTTTGTATGAAAGACTGAAGGTGAACATGCCATATAAATGTGATGGCTTCATAGAGACTTTACAGTCCCACACCTAAGCTACTGAAATAGATTCTCATGAAGTGAGGTCTAGACATTAGTATTTTGAAAACATTCACTAATAATTCTGGTGCACATCCCTGATTAAAAAAGAGAGGAAGAGGAGCTCTGGTGGCACAGCGGTTATGGCATTCAACTGCTGACTGAAAAGTCGGTGATTTGAACCCTCCAGCCACTCCATGGAAGAAAGATGAAGCAGTCTGTTTACATAAAGATTTACAGCCTTGGACAGTTCTACTCTGTCCGATAGGGTAGTTATGAGTTGGAATCGACTAGATGGCAATAGGTTTGGTTTGGGTTTAGAAGGGAAGAAGAATCAGAGAACAGCCAGAGAACATGAGCTTGTGTAAACCAAGACATACTGGTGTAAACTAACATACTCTATAAACTGATTAGTTATAGTTTGTGTTATAAACTTAAAACAACTTTCTAGGAAAGAGAAAACCAAACTGATCACTATCAACTAGGTTCCAATCTCTACATATTTTCACAAGTACATTTGAATATAAGTAAATATGAACTTACCATGCTCCCTAAGGCTTGGGCCTTACCACATTTCTGAACTGGGTTTGTTTCCTATCCCCTACTTATGTCATATTAATTCTACATATCAAAATCCAAATATCTGACGTTTTAAATAGTTCTCTTCCTCCACTCTGTTGATGGTCATAGTGTGCACTGCTTTCTTACTCTTGGCTTTTAATTTAATAGTGCTCTGGGTATCTTAATAAGCTTCAAATAGCTCCCCAACATTTGGCCTTATTTTTTTGCTGACGTAGTGGGTATAATCAAAAGGTGTTTAAATTGCTGTCAAGTCCACGTAGTGTTCTATTGATGACACCTTATCTCCTCACACAGAAACTATGTTACTTTTATGTGATTAGTTAAATGAAATTTTGATATTAACTTTTTTAACTTATGAATTTCCATCATGTAATTCTATTTTCTATTGTTTTATTCTTTTCTATTTCACCAAATAATGTATGTAACACACTTTACTTCTGACATTTATTGTATCAACAGATTACAAATAGAAAATTTGGAAAGTAGAATAAAAAAGTTAATTGTATATGTGACATTAATATTTTAGTATAGTTTTTCTTCTAGTTCTTTTTATACATTTTTTACTTTATAGTTTAAAAATATAAATAGATTTTTCTATTTTCTTTTCAACTTATTAACTGTTCCTATATTGCTAGGTTATTTTCATTATCTGCTTTTTACGTGGTTGCATAGATTTTCCCAAATGAATATAACAGAAAATAATTTCTCTATTGTTAAGATGTTTAGGTTGCTTTCTATTTTTTTGTGCCATTTAAAATTTTGATTTTTTATTCATAAATATGATTCCAAATAGTAGATAATTTCTTTACAACATTCTTAGGAGTGGGATTTACCAGGTCAGAGTATGTAATATCTTCATGGCTCTTGATACATATTGTAAAATGCTTTACATAAGGATGTATCTAATTTACATTTTCATAACCAGGGCATAAGCATGTAAGTTTCACCTCAAACACAGCAACAATTCTATTTAATTCTTCTAAATCAGAGATTAAAAATTTAACTAGAAGGAAGCCACGTGTACTGCTGATTATTTTGCTACCTTATCAGAAATAGCTTCAATTAGGCTTGGCCCCAAAGTTTTAGGTCAACACTAGCTACTTAGGGAGAATGTGTAAAAACAGATTACTGATTAGTTGCTGTAATCAGTTCACAACCTAACTTTATCCAGAGATTATAAATGATTCAAACATTCTAACAATGGGAAAAACAGCTAAATTAGATGATGTAGCAGAGGAGAATGTTAAAATTTATGCCAATACTAAACAGAGAGCCTGATAACCCAAATACTGGAAAAGAAGAAAAAAAAAATAGTTTACCTAGTTTTACCAGTAGGATCCATGTAAGTTGTTTTTTCAAGCTTGACCCATTTTCCTTCTGAAATTAACTAAAAGATTAGACAATAAGTTGAGAAACTTTCAAACCAAATTGGTTTCACAATAATCTAAAAGATTTTTGGTCTTTCTTTCGTATTTTCTCTATTTGGTCTTTTGATAACCTTGTTTCCCTCCCAATAATTTGTGGTCAAGTTTTTAAGTTCAGTGTAAGCACTAAGAGTTGTTTTCCTAAAGGATAGTTATGCTTCTCCTTGGGGTTTTTGAGGTCGTCCTGGAAATAAAAAGAAATGTATACTCTAAAAACTCCCAGGGTGGGAGCAATTGGAAAGAACACAAAGGGGCCAAGGGAGAGAGGTTATGGGGTGCTCCTAATGTTCTTTTTGTCTGGGTGCTAGTCATATAGGTGTGTTTACTATATGAACATTCATCATTCATTAATGGCTTTTTATGTCAATAACTACATAGGGGAGCTTACCGGAGAATCCACATCCAATGAGTAGATTTCCTATCATGGTAAGTGGGTGTCCCACCCAACCTGGGACAGGCACTCTAGATGTTTTGCTTCAACACTGAGGAATTTAGGTTACAGGACTAACTTACCTATGGCACTACACTGAACTGAGAGGAAAGTTTCACTGTGTACAAGCTGTAGCCTTTTTCTTACTATCCTATCTTTCACTTCTTGCCAGCAGCAACCTAATAATTATCAGCAGATCTGTTCACAGACGACATGAAAAGATTTTAAGTCAAAAAGAATTGCAAAAGGTGTCAAGATCAGAGTTCCAAGATGAAGGATTTAAAATATATCCATTACAATGGCTCCCGAAGGAAGATACTTTTTAAAGGCTAAATTGAATAACATCCAAAACATACATTAGTTCTAGAACTCACTGGAATTACACAACAACTAACAATTTAGGTCTTTATTGTACTTAATATATCCATGCTAGAACTGTAGTTAGAACTAAGATGTGATACCTAAGTATGAAATGTCTAAGCCCCAAACTTCAGACATTATTTATTCTTCTACTCAGCGAAACTTCTCACAAAAATTGATTTTTTTATATTAAATATATATAAATAGTACCTATAATTAAGAAGAGGAGCTCTGGTAGCATAGTGCCTAAGGCACTTGACTGCTAACCAGAAGGCTGGTGGTTCAAACCCATGAGCCACTCCTTGGAAGGAAAGTTGGGCAATCTACTTCCATAGTGATACTGCCTCAGAAGCCCAAGGAGGGGTCACTATGAGTCAGGTCTGACTCGACGGCATATAACAACAACAACAATATAAGTAAGAGGAAACACACTGTTCCCACACAAGTGTAAAATATCCTTAAGCCCTAAAACGAGAACAGGAACAACATTTCAAAATGATCTTCAAGAATTATAAACAATCATTCAAAAAAACAAACAGCCCATATATTTCTTTTAAACTTCAGTTATGCAGGGAAAGGAAAGGGAAGTGAAAACCAGTTTATACCTCCTCTGAAATAACAGACTGTTTGGTTGTTTGAGAAGAATCCATTGTTTCTTGGTTTTCCATTTTCAAACTAGTTAGTCTTTACAGGCTTCAGGTAAGAAATTCACGCTGTAAGAGAATGAGATTCGCTTAGGCTAAAAGTATTCGCTTAGGCTTAACGTATTTGTCTATAGACCACTGGCCAAAGCACTTACATGGCAAAATACTTAATCTACCATCAAACTGCTTCTCTTGTGTGAAGATCTGGGAGAACTGCCCCAGATGGAAAAGTAAATGAAAAGACCCTAGGAAATATTCAGAAAAGAACTTAAATTGTCTATCACTTTCCAAGCCCATAACTAACTGAAAGAGTTGTCTGGACTGTCTCTACTTCCCATTTACTTTTAACAAATATCAAAGTTATAGCTGCACATACAATCAACTAGTACTACACGTTTTTTATGAAAAGAACATGTCCCACTCCCAAAGGCAACCAACCCAACTATTCTGATGCCACTGATAACTCTAAAACACATGCTTATACTTCACTTTCTCCCAGAGCCACAGTTGTATTATAAATTGGACAGCACCACAAAAGGACCTAATTCAAGACTGTTGTTGTTGTTAGCAGCCATTGAGTTGATATTGACTCATAGTGATCTCATGTGACAAGACTAGAGCTCCCCATAGGGTTTCCTAGGCTGTAATCTTTATGGGAGCAGATCTCTCCAGGTCTTTCTCCTATGGAGCCTCTGGTAGGGTCAAAGTGCCAGCCTTTCAGTTAGCAGCCAAATACTTAACGGTTGCACCACCAGGACTCCTAGTTCAATATAAGTGTTTATATATATGTAATTATGATAATGTATGTGATTCATAGCTGACCCCTGCAGTAAACTACTTTTCCTCTCACATACAACACATTTTATCACCTGCCTATCTTTATATGTACAAATCACTAATTTAACACTAAATTGACTTGAAGTTATCTAAAATGCCCCCTTTATACATTTACATCAAGTACTTACTCCTTATAATTCTATCAGTTTCATCTTTTCAATTCTCTCCTGGAATCCTCTTGCCTGCTCCAATACTGTCTGACTGCCCATCACCAACCTCTTGGGGATTCCTTTAGCTTCTCGGCTCTGTTGGGATCCCATTTGTTGTGCACCATTACTGACTCTTTCCTTAGTTTGTGCTTTCAATTTTGGATCTTACATGTCTGAAAATCTTTTTCTGCCCTCACAACAGATTGATAATCTGACCAAATATAGAGTTATAGGTTGAAAATAATTTTCTATCAGAAACTTGAAGATATCACTCAGTTATCTTGCTTCTGGTGTTGCTGTTGAGAAGTCTGAAGTCATTTTGACTCTTGATCCATTCTTCTATGTGACCTGTTTTCTCTCTCTGGAAGCCCATAGGTTATTCATGTCTTTATGCTGATGTACCTAGGGGTGGTAATGCATCATATTGTGTACTGAAGCAAGTCCTTTTAATATTGTGCTTCTACTAAAATTATTTCACTGATAATTTTCTCCACTCCATTTTCTCTTTCAGGAACTTTATTTAGCTGTTGAACTTTTTGGACTGATCCTCCTCTTCTTTTTCATTTCTATTTTCCATTTCCTTTTATTTTATCTACATTTCTCAGTGGCTTGATAACTCTTCAATTTCATAGTTTCCTATGCTGTCTCCTAACTTTAGCTTCACAGAAAAATAGACCATCAAGTATCAACTCTCTTAGAGGAAAGAGTGTCTTTCCTCTTTGTTTCTTCTGGGATCCAAAATGATAATTATATTACCCATTAAATCTTCATTTACTACCCCATATGAGTTACCTCCATCCTAAAATACAACACCCAATAATGCAAAAATCGATAAACTTCTCATAACCTGTTCACTCCCCTCCAACCTTGCCAGAATTCTCAAGAGAAGGGATAACAACACCATTGCTTATCTTTATTCAGCCCACAGCAATCTTCTTCTCCACCACTCTAGAACTATTCCTTCTACAGCTTACAAATACCAGTGTTTTCCCAGAGAACTTCTGATCACTACCCTACCTAAGCTATTTCTGTAGTTAACCTCATCTACTTATAGATTCAGCAAACATTTGTATAACAATAATTACTGAATTTTTACTTGTTTCTGCCCTATCATCTCCAGAGCTGTGCCTACAGATGCCTTACAGATAGATACCTCAACTCACCTTGTCTAAACCTGAATTACTCCCTTAAACACATCAACCTATCATACCCAAGCTAGAAATATAAGAATCTCCAATTATTTATTCGGGACCTCTGGTGGCGTAATGCCTAAGGCATTTGATTGCTAACCAGAAGGCTGGCAGTTCAAATCCACCAGGCACTCCCTGGATCTATTTCCATAGTGATACCACCTCAGAAACCCAAGGAGGGGTTGCTAGCAGTTGGATCTGACTCAACAGCAGTGAGTTTTGTTTTTGTTTTTTTTTTTCTGGTGATTTGGGTGAAAGTTTACAGAGCAAATTTTCTATACAGCAGTTCACATACACTTTGTTTCATGACATTGACTCCAATTTACCCCCAATGCAACAGCTCCCCTCCCATTTCCTCCTGATAGTTATCTTTTCCCTGTGTCCATCCCTTCATATACTCCTGTCTCCCTATGCATAAAAAGCCCTTCTTTCTCCCATGATTGTTCTCTCCAAGGAGTGTATCTACCTCAGGTAAATGTTCAACTCATATGCCTGTCTTTTGTTTGGCTAGAAGCCACAGGTGTGGATTCAATTCCAGACCTGAAGGGCAGCTAGGGGCCATAGTCTCAGTGGTTCCACCAGGCTCTATCAGACCAGCCAACCTGGTCCCTCTCCCCCGCCCTTTTCTTTTCCAAATGATTTTGAGTTTTGTTCTACATTGTTCTCCCACTCTATCCAGGATCTCCTACATAGATCCCCCTCCAAGTGGCTGACAGTGGTAGCTGGGTACCATCTAGTTCTTCAGGTCTCATAGTCGTATAGGCTACAGATCGCATGGTGTACCAGTCACTAGGACTACTTGTTTCCATGAATCTTTGGTTTTCTTAATTTTTCTTTGCTCTGGATGAGGAGAGACCCATCATTGATGGCAGTGAGTTTTGAGTTAATTATTTATTCTTCTTTTCCAACCATAACTTATCAGTTATAAGTCCTAAAAATTCTATCTCCAACATTCATTTTTTTATGTGTGTGGGGAGGAGTGGGTGTTGCTGAACATTTTACTATGCTCTGGTTAAAAGTTTACAGAGAGAATTAGTTCCCCATTCAAAAACTTATACACATTTTGTTTCATAACATTAGTTGCAATCCCCTCAATTTAACAGCACTCTTTCCACCTCTTCCCTGGATTCCTTGTTTCCATTCTCTTGTCTGTCCTGCCCTCTGAACTTTGTTTTTAGGCAAATGCTGCCCTTTTGATCACGTATGGTTGATTGTTCGAAGGAGCATGTTCCTCATGGTGTTACTGCTAATATTTCTTGAAAGTGTCCTATCTCTATCACCATTGCTCTGGCTAAAAATCTCAGTACCTCATACAGGGATAAAATGACTTTCAAAACTATTTCTTGGACTCTAGTTTTTTCTTTGGGAGCTCTGGTAGCATAGTGACTAAGGCACTTGACTGCTAACCAGAAGGCTGGCGGTTCAAACCCACCAGCCACTCCTCGGAAGGAAGATGGGGCAATCTACTTCCGTAGTGATACTGCCTCGGAAACCCAAGGAGGGGTTGCTATGAGTCGGGTCTGACTCGACGGCATATAACAACAACAAGTTTTTTCTTTATGCTGTCCAACCTTCAACATTGCTGACAGTTATGTTGCTATAAAAACTACCTGAAATTACTGTTGAATAAATGAATGATTTAAGGGAATTGGTGGCACAGCGGTTAGGTGCTTGGCTGTTAACCAAAAGGCTGGCAGTTCGAACCCATCAGCTGTTCCATAGGAGAAAGATGTGGCAATCTGCTCCAGTATAGATTTATGAGCTCTGGTAGTGCAGTGGTTAAGACATTCACCTGCTAACCAAAAGGGCAGTGGCTTGAACCTACTAGTCACTCCATGGGAGAAAGATTAGGCAGTCTGCTTGTGTAAAGATTACAGCCTTGGAAATCCTATGGGGGCAGTTCTACTCTATCCTATAGGATTGCTATGAGTCAGAATCGACTCAGCAGCAGTGGGTTTGGTTTTTTGGAGGGTGGATAAGCCAAGAGATCCATTCTGTTGTTAGACATTTAGTTAGTTTGGGGCCTGCATACAGTTCTTTGTTTTAAAAAATGGTTCTTCTTCTACTCCTCTTTATTTGACTAAGTTAGTAAAATTCAATTTCAAGACTATACTGGCACAAAGCTAGAAGATTCATATTTCCTAATTTCAAAACTTACCACAAAGCTATAGTAATCAATATGCTGTGGTACTATGCAGTGTAGTGAATTACTTGATATGGCAGCCTTAGAAACCCTATGGGGCAATTCTACTTTGTCTATAGGACAAAGTCTAGAGAGGGGATGCTATAGGTTGGAATCAACTCCATTGCAGCGGGTTTGTTTTCTTTGGTTTAGACATAGTCCTTGTAACTCCCACCCAATGATTGTGTGGGACTATGCAAATGAGGTGCTTGTGCCCTACCAAGAGGATTTAATAGCTTTCTTAAAATGCAAATAAAGTTCATGGCACTCTTGCAGGGGGTGGTGGTGGTGGTGGTGGTGGTGGTGGTGGTGGTTGTTGTTATGTGCCGTCAAGTCAGCCCTGACTCATAGCGACGCCTCCTTGGGTCTCCGAGGTGGTATCACTAGGGAAGTAGGATTGCCCAACCTTCCTTCTGAGGAGTGGGTGGTGGTGGTAGGACCATGCAAATAAGATGTATAGAACTCTAATGAAGGAATTGGTTAGTTTTGCCATCCAGCTAGGCTTAAAAGGTGCCATCCCAGAGGTGGTGGGGGTGGGGTGTGGGGGAGACTACTACCACCAAGAAAGAAGTGCTAGAAGTGGGGAGTGTCCTTTGGATCCTTGCATTTGAGAACCTCCTAGACCCAGGAGACAGAGAGAGTTCTAACATTCGAGACAGGGAGAGACAGAGAGAAGCAGCATCACAGAAGTAGCAGCAGCAGAACCAGAA